GATTCTTAACATTGGCTTTCCAGTCATCAAGAGTCAACATAAAAATTCCAATTTTCAGTAATTTAGTGGAAAGTATCTTTTTTTCCTCCAATTTTAAAGGCTTCTTGTTCTCTACACTTGTATATTATCAGCGAAAGGGATCAACAGCTAACTTGGGGCAAGTAGTAAAAGAAATTTTGCATTTTTCGTTAAGACAATTTATGGTAAACATGAATACACAGATTATAAAATAAAGTCTCCATTTAACCTGTTTATATAAGATACAGGGCCACACTAAACTACTCAGTGGGATTTATCTATTTCATTCACTTGAAACAATAAACAGTAATGTATACAAGAATATGTGTCCTACCCTCTCTCATATGGAAGAATAAATTATATGGTCAAAATGTAAAAGAAAGTAAGCATAAAAGTGAAGTAATGTATGTATCACTCTGTCTTTTTTTTTTAATTAGACATAAATTCCACAGTGATGAAACATAAACATCAACTAAAATTCAGATAAATCACCCAGAATTGACAATATTAATATGGTTTCTTGGCTGTTCAAGTAAATGAAATGATTTTTTTAGTAGCCTGAGTAAAGAGTAAAAGAAGATTTCTCACACAGAGCCAGAAGTGTGTAAAAAACACACCTATATCTTTTGATTTAGGAGGTGGTCTTAAAATATATAAACTTGTTTTCCTACCTGTCTATGATTGATATGACCAAATTTAAAGGAAAAGCTAAGTGATATCCTACAAATAAATATAGCTATAAAATAAAATTATAGCACTTTACTAAGAAAGGTGTGTAATGCTATTTAACAGAGTATTTTATATGACTTTTGCCACTATTCTATAATTTTTTGCTTAATTTCCTTCCTGTGTTAACTAGGGTTATTTTCTAATTAAAATAATCCTGCGAGATAACAGAGACTCCCCAATATTTATTATAACACATGAGTCCTGTTGATTCACAAAACTGAATTTCTTAAGATGGAGTGTCTTACTAAAAAAGAAGAGAAAAAAACCCCTATATTTTCTTAACTTTAAAACTATGGGACACGGGGATAGATTGGAATGCTCCATATTTAGTTTTGGGGATCAGGCTTGTTAAGTACAACACCATGGTTTTGGAAGTCTGTACTAGGAACATTTTTCAAATAGATTTTTTATATTTCAGATGTAATGCAGTGCATTTTTATTTGAACAATAAAAAAAGAACATGATCTTTTGAGACCATGCAGGTCTTTTTCTTTCCCCCTTTTTGAAAGGTATGTGGTATGTGTAATTGCAGACTACATAATGTATTTCTTTTCTCTCATTCTTTTTAAGAAGTGACTTAACTCTTGGAAATAACACTTGGGTTAGTTCACACCTTAAATCCACAAATAGTTAATATTCCATTTATTGTGTAATCTGTTCATACCAACCATTCCATTTTAGAGATGATTTTGTTTACCAGTGCCAATAGAATCCCCATTTCATGCGTTTTCAACATATGTTTCAATATATTCACAAAAACTGATTTTAGTATTCATGGGAAAGATATTTTTTCCCTTCTGTTTCCCATTACTGTAAAGTTAAATCATTTTATTTTGTTAGTAATTGAAAATTAATTTTTTGATAAACTACTTACAGTCATTTTTCTTCTGAGCAAAAAAAAGGAGGGTAAGTAGTTTACTAACGGATCCTGTCTTGTTCTTCCTGAAAATATTATTCTGTCTTTCTTTTGACTCAAATGACCTAAAAACACATTTCATAAAAATTATTTTGCACACTATATTATTCACTCTTTTTAATACAATACAAAGTGTTAGACTAAACGAGGAAATTCAAGATCAAAATCTTTTCAGACCTGATTTATTCAATCTATCTGCACTTTGATGTTTTTCAGAAACACTCTTATTCCCACAGATCTGGCATTACAGAACAGAACATTTAAAGCATGCCAAAACTTTCTTTTAAATAACAAATTTTAAATCATTATTTGAAAGTGATTAAAATTTCAAAGGAAAGCTAATTCACTGTTTTAATCACTGTAATACAGAGATTCAGTATTCCAGTCACTCAGTGTATTTTTACTTTAGATAGGTGAATCTATCTAGATGTCTTTTATACTTATGTTATACTTTGTAAATTCTGGATGCTCCTGAATATCTCTGGAAACATACATCCCATTGATAAATCCTTACCTAAACAAGTCACAACATTCAATTAATTGTTATTAATTGTGAATTAACTGGTGTTATTAATTGCGAATTAACTAGTGTTAATTCCAGGTGACTAGAATTTAGGATAAGAGCATTACTGGTGCTTTTAATACAACCTACTATGTTACACACCTTAATTGCAAAAATACTATCACTTGTATTTTGAGTAAGTGAATATAGAGAAAAGTGTGCCACTGTGGCTTTAACCTAAATAAGAATTCCTTTGTAATGTGATAGTTGGAATACAGGACTAATAGATGTGTTGTAAGAAGTTTCACCTTAGACTTCTACCTTTAAATGAATTCACACTTTTGAAAGGTAAAAGCCAATTTTGCATGCTCAATACTTAAGAACCAATTATAAGAAAGATGATATGAGAGGATGTTTTTCAGTAGAGAAAAAAAGCTAATTCTACATAAAGTAGCTGTGGTTTTGAAAAGTAATGCCTTAAAGAAATAAGAAAGAAAAGTGAAGTTAAACCTAAATCTGATTCCAAGGGATCACTTTTAACAATTGCTCACGAAAATCATTTATCTTTTGAGTGTTCTTTTGTCAAACATTTCAGAAGGCATATTTGGGAAATGAGAAATTTAAATGACTGTATATACATACAGTTTATATGTATAATAGCCTATATTCAAATTTTGAGCTTCATTCCTGTGTTCAGCACTGTGATGAATAAGAATTTCAGAAACTGCAGAAAGAAAATGAAATATATAGTCTATTTTTAAAGAGCTTAAAGTTAAAAAAGATTAGTGTATGACAACAGTAATATTCAAGACAGAAATAGGCTAACTATAAATGTTGAACTTTTGAAAAATGTTTTAACATGTTATTACACAAATTCATTTGCAAAATGTTAAGAGTTGACGATTCAGTTGGTTGGTTTGCTCAATATTTGTATAGTCCTTGTACTCTGTGTATCATCTTTCTTATAATTGGTTCTTAAGTATTGTACTCTGCAACTCAAAAGGTACAAGGTATCACAATGTTGGATGACCAGTACATGTATACACATTAGTGCTGACACTTTACTTTTGTACTGGGCTTTATAATTGACAAATACTTCCCCTAATATTCTCTACCAAGTAGAAAGCAAGTTCTGATCATCCCCATTATATGAATTAAAAAATTCATGTTTATATAAATATGAAATTAGCAAAAGTTAAATGTTAAAATTCATAAATTTTATTTAGATCACAATATTCAAACTTAAAATAATGGAACCCTTAACATGAGAATTTATGTGACCCCAATGTGTAGCGGAAAAGGTAGACATACATTAGTTGAAGAGGTCCCAGTCCTGACCCGCCCTATACAGCTCCACAGAAAGAAGTCTTAGAGATCTGAGGAACAGCTTGAAAACACTTGATTTAGATTACATGAACAGTGAATGCATAAACATGGATTTTTCATTTTAGGATTTTTTTTAATCAACTTCCTTTTTTCTGGATATTAAAAAGTCCCTAGGTTTAAGTGCCACTGTGGAAGGGCCAACTCCCGTTGTCATCAGTTCTCTGGAAGGAAAGGAGTGCAGCAGCACAGAAGGTGGATCTTTACTCCCACAATCTTCAGGGGAAGATATTTCCACTTAAAATTAGTTTCCACTCTTAATCAGTGGTCAGTAGCAAATGGTTGCTTCTTTTTTAAACGTAAAGAGATAGGGAGATTGGTAGGCTTTTTCTTTTAAAAATGAGTCTATATAGCATATATTGGGATGTATTTAAACACATTTAAAAATTCATGTATGGATTTATCAACTTGGGTAGGTGCACAATGAAGCAAGAACAGTAGCTGCACTTTGACATTGCCCCAACATTTGTCAGAGGCTTATTTGTTTTAATCAATATTTTATTCCGCTCAACACAACTGGGCCTCTAGATCTAAGAGTGACCCTTCTGTGAGGGAACTCCTTCATGTCATTCCAGTTGGTTTGCTTTTGTCAAGAATATAAAACTAAAATCTAGTCCTTGTAGAATTGGCGTATTCCTTTTAACCAGAAGACACCTAATGTTACTGTTCAGGCTCTTTCAAGTTTACGGGATGCATGTGAGCTGTAGTCAAGAATTCACCGCCAGTGAATACTCCCCTTAAGTCAGGAGATAGTACTTTACCCTTAATGTAAGTTTTCCTGCTATTTCTAATGAAAGATAAAACATTGAAGGAAACTCAGTTTGCAGGTGGGATTGAAAATGCTAACTGGAACCAATGAGCCAATAAAATCTTTATACCACAGACTGAATTATGCCTGGTGCATAAAAGATGCTGGTTAAAACTCAGGTTGGCCAGAAATACATGCCTCTTACAAGCTGGCATTTCAGCAACGTGATCACTCTTTGGCAGTATAATCTATCTCAATCTCTAGCGGAATCAATCAGAGTGCAAGTAAAGGGGTGGGGGACTACCCTCTAGTCACAACAGCCACCCACCAAGGTTAACTCACTACAAATGACACCACGAGGTTAAGTGAAAAAGAATGGAAAGGCACACGCTGAACACACTTTACGAGGCGAGCTCTCCCTAGAGAACGCCCCGCTCCTGGACCTGCAATTCCGGTCCGGCCTCTGAGGAGCTCCACGCCAGCAGCGGGAAAGTTTCGTGTGTGCGCAGTAGGTTTGCCCATTGCCGCGTGGGAAAGGCGCAACGTCCCTATTTCTTGCGTCATCTCCAGTGCGACGCACCGGCTTGACTGGAAAGGTCAATAGTGGCTGCGGACAGGCGCGTGGCTGCCTTACGCCGGGGTCGCCGGCGCATGCGCGGGGCGGCCTCAGCGGAGCGGTGGAAGCCGACAGTCTGTTAGCTTCGCGCTTTGAAGTCAGCGCGGGCGCAGATATGCTGTGCCGGCTAGGCGGCAGGTGGCTGCGGCCGCTGCCTGCCCTGCAGCTCGGGGCCTGGGGCCCGCCGCTTGCGCTGGCCCCAACAAGCGGCCCCAAGCGCTCCGCTCTGCCTCTGTGGGCGGTGGCGTCAGTCTCTGCAGTGGGCCCGAGCGGCTGGTATGAGGCCCTGGCCACGTCGGCGCCCGTGCAGGGCGCAGAGGAGGTGCTGCTCGCCGCGCACACCGCCACGGGCCTGCCCTGGTGGGGCACGATCCTCCTCACCACCGTGGCCTTGCGCGGCGCCGTCACGCTGCCACTGGCAGCCTACCAGCATTACATCCTAGCCAAGGTGAGGGGCGCCGAGCCGCGCGTGGACCCTGCGCATCCCTCGGCGGGGAGGGGTAGTCGACGTCTACGCGGAGCTTAAGATCCCTGGATACTTCCGGAGTGCTTAATCATCGTGACCACTTTATTGCTAAGAAATTTAGCATTGGATGTATGAAAGATGTTTGGTGACACGTGTACCTGTCATTTCGTTTACCCTACTGGGTATGTGCTCAAAGCATACGTAGTTGCTAAGCTTGCTGTTAGAGAACGAGAGCAATAAGGAATCAGTAGCAGAAGAAATTGTATGGAGAAACCTATAAAATTACCTTCTTAAAGGTTATAACGGCCTGTATGTCTGTAGCATCTTTCCTCCCCAGGTATTCCAACTTATCTTTCTTAGAAAAAATCTAAGCTAGCACTTTGCAAACTTGATTCTTATTCAGGCTGTACCATCTACACGCCTGCGTCTGGTTAGTCACAGCCACTTGACTTCCAGTGCTTTGTTATCTTTTCTGTGGAATGATAATACCTTCCTGGCCTACTTCACAATGTTATGAGATGAAATCAGATAATATGGATTAAAGTGTTTTGAAAGGAAAGTATTATTCAAATATGAAACTTCAAAAATAATGGCTTTCATGTTTTTAGATTATTATCACTGGGGGAAAAAACCCGGAAACAAAACAAGAAGGGTATCATCAGCACCGTTAAGTGAGGTACTTTACAGAAAAAATTAACACACGGTAGAAATAAGTGCAAATTTTTTGTGACTCTCTGGCTATCAGAGAGGATATTAAACACTCTTCATTAATAGACTTCTGTTTTCTCAGTTTACATTACTGGGAAATCCAGGGATGAAACATTAAAATGCCGGGTGCAGTTTTCATCCTTATAATGACCCTGTGAAGTAGGCGCTGTTGTGTGTTTTATGTATGAGGGAACAGGATTTTAGAGGTTAAGTAACTTGTCCAAGATCACACAGCTAAGTGTAGAAGCTGAATTTGAATTTGGTTGTAACTGAGGATATTTTAAGCAAATTAACATCTTATGCTTTGACTTAAGGTTTCTTGACATGATCGGTGAACCACATTTTTAAAAGAGTTGAGTAAAGTAGAGAGTAAAGTTATGAGTGGTTATAAATAAAAATCCTTTATGTGCTCATAATAAATTCTACTTTTTCTTTAGCTAGGTGGAAAATTTGCAGCCAGAAATAAAAAACATTGCGAAGTGTCTTAACCAAGAAGTTGCAGTTCGTGCAGATCAGTTGGGGTGGTCCAAAAGAGTTGCCAGGTAAGCTAATTCTATGCATATAAGACCATGAATATATATAATGTGTAAGTGATGATGTTAATTATAGGTTTGGGTGTTCTCTACCTTTAGCAGCAAAGTAGTTCTTTTTACTCTTTAGTATTTTAATAATTTTATGTGGCATGATAGTTGTATATACTGGAGTGAAAGCAAAGAAATGGAGAAACATAGATAAGAAGAGCAAGTTCCTTGTTCTTAAGGGACTCCAGCCTACTGAAAAAGACCTGTAATCAAGTAATGACTGATTTAAGTACTGTAAAAAAGTTACGTGCAAGGAGTTGGGTCATCATGGAAAGCCAAGGGAGGCTTCACAGGATGCAGATACTATGCCAGTTTGTTGAGATTTCAACAAATGGTACAGGTAATTTATAAACTTGATCTTTTTGAAAAGATACAGCAGGCTATAGCCCACAGGAATGGGGAGGTAGAAAGTGTGAATGCCGTGGTAGAAGCAAGTGGATAGCCAAGGTGCTGTCTGTCTGCTGTGGTTACCCTGTGTTGTTGTCTGCCTAGGCTGTTAGAGAGCCATTGCCCAAGGGTGCTTGACCACATTGCAGTTCTGTGCCTGCCATCGTTCACTGGGAACTTCAAAGTCCTCCTGCTTCAGTCACCCTAAGCTACTACTTAGTTTCCCAAATTCTGATCCTTACCAGCCTCTGACAAAGTGTTCACCAGTTCACAGCAATGAGAAAAATGAGGGCTTTGTAAAATGAGTAATATATATGTGATTATCTATATATTTTTATTTATATAGGTGTAAATTTGCCAACTATCTTCAATATGATATTGCCTCCCTTTTTATTTAGTGTTAAAAAGATCTGACATTTAAAAAAAATCATTGTGATAGCTTAATGCCTTTACGTGATAAAATAAAGTTGGCAAACCTATGGTTTTGAAGTTTTACTGATCAGAGAAATCTGAGAACTACAGCTCTAGGCCAAAAGAACAGATTAGTAGCTGCTCACCTGGGTTATAAATGCAGCCTAGACAAGACTGTGGCACTTTGCTTTTGCAGCACTGGCAGGATGATTGTCCAGACGCATTCTTACACAGATGGGGGAAGACACATCTGAGGGTTTCCTGCATTTTCAATGGAACTGAGTCATGAAGGGTGAAAGGGTGTCAGGTGGACAACCAGGAAAGTGGGCTATCCACACAGATGATATAATAACTTCCAAAGGCATGCTGCTGTAGAAGTCTGATTGTTGGATAAACCTAAGTCATTCAGGTACTAGAATATACAGGTGTCTGTAGAGGAGTAACAGGAGATAAAGTTGGAAGAGTAGGCACAGGCTAAATTACAAAGAGCCTGGAATGTCTGTGTGTACTGTCTTAATTCAATACACTATGATTCGATTAAATTCAGCAAACCTATTGAATGCCTACCTTTCTACAAAATATGCTACGAGAGATTTAGAGATAAAAAAGACCCAACACTTGACCTTCAAGGAGACTGTAGTCTGGAAAGTAGGACTTAAGACAAGAACAGGAATAATTAATATGGTTAACAGAGAAACAAATTAAGAAAATATTCATGAAAGAGTTGATTGAAGAATAGAGACTATTTTGACAGGCCAAGAGCATACACAGTACAAAATCCCATTGCTTGAAAAGATATATGCAGGGATCAAGTAATTGAGCTTGACTGGAGTGGAGGAATTTGAGGAAAATGTGCTTTCACCTTTAGTATTTCTGGTATAAATTGTGGTCATACTGTTTGAGTAGTGAAATTTCCCTTGTTAAAGTCTAATTGGCCAAAGACCGCCAGAGACAAAGCCTGTAGTCTGACAATGTCAGGTTATCGAACTATGTAATTTGTGTACATTGCTAGAGAATTTCCACTAAAAGGCTTTATTTACCTTTTGTTTAGGCAGCCCCTTAATATAGACTATGACAACTAAAAATTCTACACGAATCCTTTAGCTAATAACCACAACATGGGAATGTTTGTGCTATGAGTATAAAGCAATTAATATTAGTACAGTCATGTGCTGCATAATAATGTTTTGGTCAACAACAGACCAAATGGGACACGATGGTGGTCCCATAAGATTAGTACCATATAGCCTAGGTGTGTAGTAGGCTATACCATCTAGGTTTGTGTAAGTACACTCTATGATGTTCACACAACACTGAAATTGCCTAACGATGCATTTCTCAGAATGTATCCCTGTTGTTAAGCAACACATGACTGTACATGGGGGAAACTGGGGAAAACCAAGTAACTCACCGAAATGGCTGAAGCCCTCACCTTAAATACCATCCTCAGCAAAAGACGAAAGATGATGTTGGGAGTGGGAAGAGTCAGGGACCTCAAAGGCAAGAAAGGCAATTCACAGGTAGGTGAAAAGGAGCTAACAATTGGAAAACAAGTGTTTGGCCACACAGAAACAGAACAACACAGAGGGGAACCAAACAAACAGGCTTTTCTAGGTTCCTCCCTGTCTGCCACCTCGTTCATGTTATGCTAAGGTGGTAGCTCGCTTCCTGAGACAAGGAGTTTTTTATCTGAATTCTTTTAGGCAGTTAAGGGGGAGGTAAGAGGAAAAACTTTCTGAGTCTTTTCTTTCTTAAAAATAATCAGCCTAAGATAATCCTCATGTTAAAGAGACGCATTTGGGGGTTGCAAATTTTGTTCCCCTTCAGTACACACTGTGGTCTTCGCACAACCACGAAATCGCCTAACTGCACATTTCTCAGAATGTGTCCCCGTCGTTAAGTGACACATGATTGTAGTCAAATGACATTTTCTCCTTTCCTTTTTTCCCTCTTCCCTCAAACTAGGCTCACTTACCTAAAGAATATGCGGAGGCTTGTTTCAGAGCTGTATGTTCGGGATAACTGCCATCCTTTTAAGGCCACTCTGTTGGTCTGGATTCAGCTTCCCATGTGGATCTTCATGTCTGTTGCTCTCCGGAATTTTAGCACAGGGGCAACACATTCAGAAGGTAGTTGTTATAGAAGTCTGTTTCCCCCAAAAAAGTTGTCTAACGTTGTCTTTGTACTCTAAAGAAATAAAAGTCCCATACTCTTTATAATTAGAATACTTTTACCATCTTCCTTACAAGGGGATAAAATTTAAACTAGTAAGTGTAAGCAAACTAGCTGTGATGAGACAACAAATGAATCTGGGAAGGACATCAGTAATACTGCTTCTTGGAGGTCACAATAAAATTAGTGTTATAATTCCATAATTCAGTTTCCTGGCCAAGAATTTTTCCATTTATAAAGTTAAGAGACCAGAAAAGCTTTCATGGTTGTAAATGTGAACCTTAATTAGGAAACGATATAAACTAAAGCATTTGTTTTTTATTTTCATTTGAAGGCATGTCTAACCAAAAAGTAATCTGAATAGACTTGAAAGAAAGCAGCCTATGGACAAATAATTATTTAAATTTAAGTCTGAAAAGATTACTGCCACATATCTTTAGGCTCTGTACATCTGTTTGCTACAGAAAGCTTCTTGCCTTTTTCTCAGTACAGGAAGGACTTATTTATGTTGTGAAATGAAAATAACCTGAATAAAACCAATTTGAGTCTTTAGTTTGAGGGACGCCATATTGGAATTATCAGACTACTTATGACTTTTGTATTTTCCTCTGCTATTTTTATAAATTCTTTTGCTTTATTTATACCACTGTTTCAACAGGTTTTCCTATTCAGGAGCAGCTAGCTTCTGGTGGGGTCCTGTGGTTTCCTGACCTCACTGCACTGGATTCCACTTGGATTCTGCCTGTCTCCGTTGGTGTCATCAATTTATTAATAGTGGAGGTCAGTGGTTTTAAATGAAATTTGTTTGCCATTTAAATCATTGGGATTTTGTTGTTGCTGTTCTGACGTCAAATATAAATGTATTTGAGTTGGTGGTGATAGCTGCTAGAATTGAGACTTCTTGGTTTCTGGTTGCAGATTAGCCATTGACAAACTGTTTTAGGCCAGTTCATTAACCCTTCTGGGGGTCAGAATGCTCATAATTAAAATAAGAAAGCTGAATTAGAACACTTCCAAAGTCTCTGTCAGCTTTAAAATTATATGGTTCTAATACATACAGTTTTGTGATTCGCCTCTGGTAAAGACAGTAATTAAGATGCGTAATCAATCTAGTTTTAGTCCCACAATAGATTGGTGTTTTGTGTATATGCTTAATATGTAAGTTTGTAGGTAGTCGATACCTGACTGCCATTTTTTTAGCTATGTGACCTTAGAAAAGTCATAGAATTTCTTTATACATATAAAATATGACCTCTCAGCCATGTCTTAGCCTTATCCCATGCTGCTTTACTCAACAGTTTAGGGGAATCATGCCTTTAATTTCATAAAGAGCTGTTCTCAGACTCTGAGTAGAATATAGACTCTGAACTGGAAGAAACCTTAGAAATGATGTACCTCAGTTGAGATCTCACAGACCTTATGTCTATTGGTCTCTGTTTGGGAAATCTGATACACCCCTTATTTTTCCAGACAGGAAAAATGAAGATGATACTCTAAGGTCTTGGGTGAAAATTTCTTGAGAAAAGATTATGAGTGTAGTCTAAGTGTGTTTCCCTGAGAGCACCTAGCACAGTTCTGTGAATGTGGTTGATACTTAGTGAATATTTGTTAGAAAGAAGGAGGTGATAAACACAAGGTCACAATGAATTAATATCAGTCTTCTCATCTTTCCTTTATACCGTCTAACGACCCGGCATGCGTAAGTTTAATAAAAGCTTATTCCTCCTTAGCATACAGTGTGTGCCAGGCACTATTGTAATCAATTTACATGAATTAACTCATTTAATTCTTACGGTAATCGTTTGATGTAGGTACTTTTATTACCTTCATTTAAAGGTGGAGAAAGTGAGGCACAGAAAGGTTAAGTAACTTACGCAAGTCACATAACCACTAAATGCAGGGCTGTGTGGCCATATCACAAACCTGAGATATCTATTAAGTTCTTCTTTATGCCAGGCACTATTTTTAGGTGCCAAAAAACAAGGGTAATGACTCATACGTAATACCTGTCTTGAAGGGACTTTGAGTCTGACAGACAATCTTTAAAAAACGTTGACTTGTAAAAACTATGCTGTGATTCTATTTAATATAGCTGAATCTCTTCTTTATTGCTATTAATTAAAGCTCTATTTAAGAACTCTGCATAATTAAATTTTTTAAAAGATAGATGATCAACCAAATAAATTTATCAGTGTTTAATTTTAATTTTTTTTACTTTTATTAAAATATAGGTGGAGGCCAGTCAAAAATCAATTCGTATTTTAAAGCTTGTCTAATTTAATATGCATATTAATAATCGTTGTGTATATATTCTACCCCTTCAGATTTTTGCTCTGCAAAAAATTGGAATGTCTCGTTTTCAGACATATATTACGCACTTTGTCCGTGCAGTATCTGTGTTGATGATTCCAATTGCTGCAACAGTACCTTCAGTGAGTAACCACCAGCATTGTATATAGCATGTGCTAAATCCTCTCTGTTCTTAGCTTAGACTGGCTGGGATTCTGCCTCTTCTATTGAGCTTCCTCTAACTACTCAACCCCTTACTGGTTTCCGAGTTTCTGTAGTAACTAATCTGTCTCTATCACCAAGTGACACTTGAATATTTCTTGGGATTGGTTAATCTTCCTTTATGTGAATGTGTCTTAACTCTCCTTCTAAATCAAACTCCTTTTTCCTTATGTTTTTAATTTAAGAAAATTTATTTTATTTTATTTTTTTAATTTAAAAAAAATTTCACCCTTTTCAAAAAGAAAAACCTTGCAAAGTACCTTGCACAGTACTATGAACATAGTATTTTCTTTGATTAGTTGGTATATTGAATTCCTTCTCTCTACATAGTCTGGCCAAGAAATTTAGCACTTAAAAAAGAAACAAAACTTTGTGCCAAGTCCATATGGGTTCATATGTAATATTATTTAACCTCATAACAACTTTGTGAGATAGGTACACTTGTCCCCATTTATATGTAATTAAACTTTGATAGAAATAGAAAAAGAAGTAGTTATGTTTGCAGTTACTTCATATTTTTAGGCTTTTGTTTATTTCCCATGGATACTTTAGTGCTAAGAGGGCAAAAGCTGTGTCAGGTATATCTCTGTCTTTGCTCAGAGCCAACACTTAGACCATAAAGTAGGATTCATTTGTTGCCGGCAGTTAGGGTTATATCAGCATATAGAAAAGTACTTTATAGTACTTGTCTTAGGAATCTGAAACAGTGTGTTTTCAGCATCAGAATTTTTTTTTTTTTTTTGTGAGGAAGATCAGCCCTGAGCTAACATCCATGCTAATCCTCCTCTTCTTGCCAAGGAAGACCGGCTCCGAGCCAACATCCACGGCCTAATCCTCCTCCCTTTCTTTCCCGCAAAGCCCCCCAGTAGACACTTGAACGTCATAGTTGCACACCCCTCCAGTCGCTGTATGTGGGACGCTGCCCCAGCATGGCCGGAAAAGTGGTGTGTCAGTGCGCGCCTGGGATCCGAACCCGGGCCGCCAGTAGCAGAGCGCGAGCACCCAACCGCCAAGCCACGGGGCCGGCCCCTCAAAAATGTGTTTTTAAAGCTGTCCCTTGGACATAATACTGTCATTAATCCTGTGTAAAACAAGTTTCCCCGTTTCTAAAATAGACATCATGATGTCTGTGAGAATTAATGAAGTAACATCAAGTGCTTATTATAGTACTTTTCATGTAGTAGTAATGTTGTAAAATACCTTGTAAAAATAGAACAGTACAGATTCACTACATTTCTGGGGAGAAATAATACCACTTATAACTGAGGAAGTCCCCAGATCATATAAAATAGCAGTGAAGTTTCATGAGTGATTGGGTTCAAAGTGAGTAACAGAGATGTGAAAAACAGTGCCTTACATAACTGAAAGTTTATTCCCTCAAATATAGGCAATTCAGAGTTAGGCAGTTCAGTGTAGAGCTGACATGACGGCTCTAGGAAGATGTGAGAGACCCAGCCTGCTTCTCTCTTACTGCTCCAGCATCCCCAGCCTGGAGTTTCTGTCCTTCTGGCCACAGCATGGTCGTGCTGGCCGCTGGAGCTTGCCGTCTTGCAGGAGTGGTAAATGGTGCTTCAGGTGCAGTCAGCCCCTTTTAAGGAGGCTTGCCAGATATCCTGCCAAACCTTGTGCTGCCATTGGAGTTATGTGCCTACACCTAACTGCAGAAGAGGCTGGGAAATAGTCTTTTTTTTTAAGATGGCAGTATACCCAGCTAAAAATTAGGATTTTATTACTAAGGAAGAAGAATGACTCTTAGTAGGCAGTTTGTAGTCTGCCGTAGTTGGGCTCAGTGTACTTTTTGCTTAGTGGATAAATCAGATGATGATGACAACAGCTATTTAAATTTTTTTAAATAGTTAATATTTTTAA